GCGTGAGTTTAAGGTAGTATCTATATTCAAAATGGGACTCTCAGGGTGACTTTATAATGCAGAACTGAGTTTCAAAGTCGGCTGCTCTGTATGAACAGTCCTACACTGGCTGCGTACACTGTAATTTTTTTTGTTTCAGATAAGTTTTCTTTCCTGTACCAATTATCCTGGTATTGAAGTCAACCATATAATAGTTGCTGGTATTGGGGCCAGCCTTGTAGTAGATGCTGGTGTTTAAGTCAATATTCGAGTTGTACAACTGAAGAAAATCGTCAACGATAAAAATTGAAATTGGAAACTAAATTTTCGAAACCTGAGTTAAATCTCTTTTGTCGATTCTCTCCAACAACAGCTCAAAAGAAAATCGGGAATTGGAGGTTCAAATAATATTTCAAATGGTTATCAGGGTTTGGATCTTCAGCTTAAATTAATGGAGGATGAGCCAATTGCAAACATCTATTTCCGATTGCTGTTTTCGGCGGTGTCGGCTTATTTGCTCTATCTAATCATGCTCAACATTGGTGAGTGATGAGTGCTGAGCGTTGAATGGTGTATGTTATGTGTTTGTTATTTGTGTTTTTAAGTTTATATGTATATATATATAAGTTTATATGTATATATATGTTTATTTATATATTTAAGTTTATATATATACCTAAATACCTACCACAGACGTAACCTTATGCACCCACTTCTTATCTTTATATGTATCTGCACCTTACATGTACCCAAAAACCCACTACAGACGCAACCTTATACACCCACGCCTCAGCCTTATATGTACCTAAATATATACCACAGAAGTAACCTTATGCACCCACTTCTTAACTTTATATGTATCTTCACCTTATATGTACCCAAAAACCTACCACAGACGCAACCTTATACACCCACGCCTCAGCCTTATATGTACCTATATACCCACCACAGACCCGTATTATGCGCTGCTGGTGATGATTGTGTTGGTCGTGCTGGTGTTGATTCTACTGGTCATAGTGGGAGCGCTGTGGCTGCTGTGGGGAGTGTCAAAGAATATCACCTTCAACAGCTGGCGTCGCTTCGATACGTACTTAGGCGGATGGCCGACCACGGTAATATATATAA